TAACATGGGTAACAGATATCAACACTGTCTCAGCTGCAGTAGGACCATGCCAGATGCAGTGAAACCATGGACCCAGACGTTGCCAGTAGCAGCAGCTTGCACCCAAATGTCACCATGTGGCTCTCAGATCAGCATGGATCTAGCAGTAGCATGGTTCCCAGAGTCCTAAGACTCCAACATGGCCCCAGGTGGTGGCCCAGAAGCTGGACATATTATAGCCTTCAGTGGTAACAGACACTGACATAGACACAGACCCTGACTGCAGCAGAGCTACAGAAGAGGGCATTCTTAAGGATCCAATTTCTTTTGTTTTCCTGCATCTATTTTGTCTGGATGTGCATGCCACTGCACATGTATGGAAATCACAGCCACTTTAGAAGTCAGTTCTTTTTTTATGATTTTCTTTTCATGTCCTGCCTGCATGTATGTCTGAGTGAGTGTACCAAATTCTCCAGAACTAGACACACAAAAAGTTGTGAGCAGTTATGTAGGTGATGGGAATCAAACCCTTGTCCTTCATAAGAACAGCTAGTGCTCTTAGCCATTGAGTCATCTTTACAGCCAATGGAAATATGTTCTGACTTTCCACTCTGTGGGTTCTAGATATTGAATTCAAGCTCCAGTCTAGGCTGTAGATGCCACTGAGCCATCTCAACAACACTCTCTTTTATAGTTAAAATAATGAAGAACTAAAAAGAGAAAGAATCTGTTTGGTAAGAGATAAAGAGACAGAAATTGAGACAGATATAGTGACAAAGAGAGAGACAGAGAGAAAAATGAATTCAGATTTGTGAATTTGAATGTCATGTCAAGAATCCAAACTCTTCTCAATTCCATGATACTGCCTCTATAGCTGCTAAATGAGTATTTATTCCATTACAAAGTTTATACTGAAAAGGTGAGATTTTTTTACAAGGGTATATATATGCTATCTAGTTAGCTTTTTATTTACTTTATACCTAGAACTTTTAAGTTTGAGCTCATTGCTCTACAACATCCATCCTTGTAGACTGTTCACAGTAACACTTACCGTGCATACTACGTATTGATCTGATAATTAAATAGACTAGTGTCCATTATGTTTCTGCCTAAAATACATGACACAATTTTAAATTTAGGAAAATTACTGACAAGAACATGCAGATTAATTTAAATCATAGATGGAGGGTTCCAAGCCACAGTTTTCAGAGGTTCTGTATAACTGAGACACTAAAAGGTGAGGAGATACTGATTTCATTTATTTATTTATTCATCTATTTACTTTTTCAGATGCCCAAAAATTTTAGTGAGTAGATTTTCCTTTAATTGCATTTTTTTCACGTTGAAAACTTTTTAACTGACATTAATGGCAAAGGCTGTGTTAAACTGTTGACACTGCCAGCAACAATCAAAAGAAAATAAACTGTTCTTTTGAAATGGACCAGGCATAACAGCCTGACTTTCACAGGAGACAGAGTCCTGCATATCTGGGTCAAATTACTCATAAGATACAGACAGGATTATGGGTTGTTTTGTTCAAAGTCACTGCAATCTTTCAAAAGGTTTTTACCCTTTCTATCTCCTTTTCCATATGGATCTGAACCTGGAAAAGAAGGGTTTGATAAAACTCAATTCAAGATTGAGTGCTCTGATATCTCTAAATCTGTGCTGATCATTATTTACTGCAATAAGAAACCTCTGTGGGGGCAGGCTAGATTGAGTGATGGCTGTTCTATGGATACATAAATAATTTATTGGGAGTCCTTGTATTGTTTCTGTTCCTTTAGCAGAATACTAGTAACATGTTGCTCCTTAGGGCCTCTTATGTGTGTAGTTTTTGTTTGTAGTCACTTTAGCAGTGTTGCATATGGGTTCTCAAGTAGTGGACCAATTAAAAATGGTTAGTTACTCCCATAACGTTTGTGCCACTATTTCCTCAGTATATCTTGCATGCAGGCCACTTTTGTAGGTCCCAGGGTTTGTAGGTGGGTGATACTGAGGATTACCTTCCTTTTTCCTCCAGTAGCATGCAGAATGTCTTCCAATACCATGAAGGCTATTCAGTAGAGTGTGGAGCTTCTACGTGGGCACCAGCTTGACTTTTCCATGTTTGATGACATATGTAAGTTGTATCTTCAGCAATAAGACCTTACCATTAGGCTAACTGAAAGCTTCGGGAGGAAGTGTAAATGACACAGTGTCATCCAGGCACAATAGGACACACATAAACATGCAGAGAGTGTGACAGCATACACAAGGCCTATACAGGTTCAAACCAGACAAAATTCCAGCACTGAGAAGAATAAGGGGACAAATACTCCTTCACTTAAGCAAGAAGCCATTTTTAATTGATACCTACTGGGAAACAAAAAGTCAGTTTTCTCCAATAGAGAATCAATGAGTATTGATAAAGAGAACATAAAATGGAGAGTTCCAAACTACAATGTTCTCAACTATGTACTTGTATAATAGGAGATGAGGGTGGCAGTCCCCATGCTGGGAGTAATTGGATAACACAAAGTGCACTCATGGCGTGTGTGTGTGTGTGTGTTCTGTATTATTTTATTTTTTGTTTTTGTTTTATGTTATTGTTTGGATGTTTCTGTTGTTGACTATGCTGTTTTGTTTCTTGTTTTGTTATTTTTGAGAGAGAGAGGAAACAGGAAGTTGGTTGGGTAAGGAGGTGGAGGTAATGGGGAAGAAGTTGAAGGACAGGAACTATATATCAAAATATATCAAATTTTAAGTAAAATGATTTACATCTTTTATTAGTGTGTTTGTGTATGAACACATGCATTTTATGCTTGAGTGTGCATACTGAAGTTCATACATGATGGTTGAGGAAAAATTTGTTGAGTCAGCTCTCTCCCTACATTTTAACCCAGGTTCTATGAATTGAATTTAGGTCTTCAGGCTTGCATTTAGTGGTTCCTTATCCCCCAAGCCACTTGGCAGCTTCCTCTGTACTCTAGTTATAACTTTTGCTCTTTGAAAGCATAGCTGCAGATGATTTGCGCAATTTTGGCCAGGGTTATATGGCCAGACTTGGACTCAGTACAGGTTAATGAACTCCAAGAAGTCATTAATTTAGTCAACATACATGTATGCTGTATGGGCGCCATAGTTGCTGAGATTTGTTATATTTAGCAAAATCACTGTTTTATAGTCCTCCTTCCTTCATTTCTTCCTTCCTCCTGTCTTTTCTTTCTTTTTTTCAAAGAAAAGAGGATTGCTACAAATTTTATAGAACTAAGGAATTAGATGCATATTTTTGTAAATTGGAAGACTTGAAAATCAACTTTATTTTCAATGGATTGTCTGAGTTGATGTGAGGCTTGCTAAATAGGCATACAGCCAATTTTAAGGAATGAACCTAGTATTTTTTTACTCTTCAGAATATTAAGAACAGGTCATAAGTAAAAGAAAATAGGAAATAAAGACCGGAGGTTGGGAAGCCTGGAGTCAGTTCAGACTGTCTGAATCACTTATTCTGTGGTGGTGATTTGAGCTGACAAGATGTTTTTGGAGGGATTGTGCTCTTCAACACTGTTTGCTTTGGGAAGTCAAGCCAGGATTTATTATGGCTGAAAGCCTTTACAGCTGTCGGATGGAGTGCGGGGTTCAGAGAGTTGAAAATATCAGCTGACATTAATAGTGTGAATTGTGATTTTGAATATTTGCAACAGTTGTAATGCAGAAAAAAGGCAGAAACTACATTTTGGGATTGCTGAGAGAAAAAAATGATATGTCCAACAAGGCCAGTAGTAATTCAGTATCTACTAAATGAAACCCATATATCTTAAATCCTGTATAAAGCACTGCTTATTAAAGTAATTACATTCATTATGAAGATGTCAGACTTAGGATGTAGAATTATTCATAGAAATTTCTGAGTATGATGTCTTCCCCAAAACCTGATTACTTCAGTTTAAATTGTGGTTACTACAAAGCACTGGATTTCTGTAAAGATACCAAACAAAATGAATTTGGAAGATGTGTGAATGACAAATGTACAGATCTGTCAACAGAGAGATTTGTATGGTGTTATTAAAAGCTGTCCTCTGTATTTAAGATCAAAGTCTTTCACACGTTTTAAGAATTAAATACATTTAATTCCAATTGTAGGATTGTGAATAATAAATGTTTATTAGGAAATTATATGCATGGTATATTATATGCCATATGGAAGACTCTAAATTTACTTGACTATATAATTCCTCCTACAGGAATAATCTCCTCAAACATATTTCTCTGAAAATGTATATTCTGAGTGGTAGGAAATCTTTCCATTATTTATAGTGGGTGATTACATGTATCAAATACATATCTTTTTATAGAGATTTTCAAATATAATAGGAACTCAACTTATTACTCAATGGATAAATGTAATAATGCCTATATTCTTACGTTCTGAGAAATTGTTCAATTTATTTCCAATTCATAAAATTATAGGTTCAAAGTTAGACAACAGCACATCTCAGAGACACTGTTACACTAATTTTAAGATGGACATGTTGATTTTAAGGACTCAGACTACTGTGCTATTATTGTAGCCTGAATTTAGTAGCACGTGCATGTGTGTGTGTGTGTGTGTGTGTGTGTGTGTGTGTGTGATACATATTGATGTTTTGACTGGATCCACATCTGGCAGCTTGGTTATGTTTTGACCAAATACTATTATCATAGGTAATGAAATATTTTCTTCCCTGTCTGCTATGTCTATATCTCCTGTTTATTTTGACTTCTTCATGATTTTGTTATCTTTTCTGATTTTCACTTGTTAAAAAACAGATCAATATGGTAATTGCATAAAGTTCAGATGAAAATTCAAACAAACCAATCTCAATTATAAACCGAGTGATTTTTACAAATAATACTCTGTACTTATCAGAGTTGGTCATTCTACCATCACTTTTGCAAACACTCTGTATGGTCTAAGTGGTTTTAAGGTAAGAATACCTAGTATGTGGTTCTTTTTCCTGTCTGTCTTATTTTATCCATATACCTATTTTAGTACTTACATTTAATATAATTTATCCTTATTTCCATTTCTTAAATACTCCATGTCTTGTGCCCTTTCAGCTGACACACAGGATGACGCTGGCTTATAGGCCATGCCCATGGTCCAGCATAGGTCTAGAAAGGATTCTGCTGTTCTTCATTCTAAAAGACAACAAGATTTCCTTTCAGAGAACTTAACTCATGCCGTCATCTCTCACTCCTCAATGTGATTATTTGATGAGTTTCCCATGAAGTCAGAGCTCAGTAATTGCTGCCATCAAATGTCTAACATCTTCCTTCATGGTTCTACTTAAAATTCCCATAGATACATCTGCACAGGATACTTGTCTCATACCTAAAATCACCATTGTTTATAAAAGAAGAGCTTCTGAAGCAAAAGGGTTTTGTCTTCAAGTATTCTGAATGGGAATGTCCAATTTCATCAAAGATTACACAAGGATACTTGGAATCATCTCTTAAATTAAATGGAATTATAACACATTTATAAGACATCTATTGGTCTAAAACATATCATCAAATGTTCTGTTGAACATGAAGGCAAATGTGCTATCATCCCAACTCACAAAGTTTACACTATCAGGGGGGATAATACATAGGCATGTGTTATCTTGTCCTAGTTCATTTGCAGTAGGAGATGGAGGATTGAAGCTCCTTATATTATGGTAAATCAAGACAAAGAGTAGCACTAGGATCTTAGGTTAAGTATGGTCTTCATAAGCCCATCAATATTGAACATTTAGGGAGGCCTAGTCTTGATCTCCTAAAGCTTTCACAGGCTTCCAAAATGGCACCACCAGGCGGACACCAAGCTTTCAAAGTATGACCTTAGAGAGACATGTCATATCTAAACAATAATGGAAAATGCCCCAGTTAGACTGAGGAGAACCAATTCCTTTGCTAAGTATCCAGTTACTTAGTTTGTTACATTTTTGTGTTCATAGAGAACTTCACATTCTTTAATCTCAAATCATGTAGATAACCTCACTTTAAATATGGGAGTAAAGCAGCAATTATTTTTCAAGCTGTTACTTTTAAAATATAGTATGTCAAAAAGTTTTGTGACACATTGCAAGTTAAAACATTCAAATCTATTCACATTGTCATTCATCCTAAACCCCCAACTATTGCATGTTGTTTGGTGAATTCTGGTCTGACAGATCAAAGAGAGGTAGGCTTTGAATTGTTTGTGAAAGACCATGTGGGAAACAGTAATGTAGACATACATCAATCCTAAATGATGGGAGAATTTCATGTCTCTGTTGTGTATGAGTGTTAAAATGTGTATGGGTGTGCATGAGATGTCCAAAGGTTTATGTCAAGTTTTTCCCTCATTCTTCAGTATATTTATTGAGTCAAGGTCTGTCTAGGAACTCAAAACTCTGTGAATCAGTTGGTGTAGGTAGCCTGATTTCCCCAGAGATTTGTGAATGCCTTGTTTTCTAGAGGCTGCCACATCTACTTGTCTTTTTATGTAGGAGAAATAGATTCTAACTCTTGCCCTCATAGTTGCAATACTTAATCCATCATGCCCAAGTCTAACCTTAAAAAAAGATTTGTTCTGGCCACTTTGCTGAAGGTGTTTATCAACTCTAGGAGTTCCCTTGCGGAGTTTTTCAGGTCGCTTATGTAAACTATCATATCATCTGCAAATAGTGAAAGTCCTGAAAACAGCTTAGTATTGGCACAAAAATAGGCAGGTAGACCAATGGAACCCAACTGAAAACCCTGATTTTAACCCACACACCTATGAGCACTTGATTTTTGACAAATTAGCTAAAACTATACAATGGAAAAAAGAAAGCATATTCAACAAATGGTACTGGGTACTGGTATGCAAAAGACTGCAGATAGATCCATGTTTATCGCCTTGTACAAAACTTAAGTCCAAATGGATCAAAGATCTCAACATAAATCCAGCCACACTGAAACTTTTAGAAGAGAAAGTGGGAGATACTCTTCAATGAGTTGGTACAGGAGACCACTTCCTGAACATAACACCAGTGGCACAGACACTGAGATCGACAATTAACAAATGGGACCTCATGAAACTAAAAAGTTTCTGTAAGGCAAAGGACCCAGTCAACAAGACAGAAAGGCAGTCCACAGAATGGGAAAAGATATTCACTGACCCCACATCTGACAGAGGGCTAATCTCCAAAATTTACAAAGAACTCAAGAAGCAAGTCTCCAAAATACCAAAGGATCCAATTAAAAGATGGGGTATAGAACTAAACAGAGAATTCTCAATAGAGGAGGCTAAAATGGCCAAGAGACACTTAAGAAAGTGCTCAACATCCTTAGCCATCAGGGAAATGCAAATCAAAACAACTTTGAGATACCATCTTACTCCTGTCAGAATGGCTAAAATCAAAAACACCGAAGACAATTTATGCTGGAGACGATGTGGAGAGAGGGGAACACTCCTCCATTGCTGGTGGGAGTGCCAACTCTTACAGCCACTTTGGAAAGCAGTATGGAGATTCCTCAGGAAAATAGGAATCAATCTACGACCAGACCCAGCAATTCCACTCTTAGGCATATATCCAAAGGAGGCAAATTCATACAACAAGGGCATCTTCTCCACTATGTTCATAGCAGCATTATTTGTAATAGCCAGAACCTGGAAGCAACCTAGATGCTCCTCAACTGAACAGTGGATAGAGAAAATGTGGTACATTTACACAATGGAGTATTACTCAGCAGAAAAAAAAACAATGGAATCTTGAAATTCACAGGTAAATGGATAGCACTGGAAGAAACCATCCTGAGTGAGGTAAGTCAGTCACAAAAAGACAAACATGGTATGTACTCACTCATATATGGATTTTAGACGTGGATCAGGAGAGTGCCAGTCTGCTCTTCCACTGACAGAGAGTCTGGGAAACAGGAAAGAACCTAAAAGATATGCATGGTACCCAAGAGAAGAGAAATGAGGCAAGATCCTCTGAACAGATGGGGAACACAGCAAGGGGTGGGGGGAGGGGGACCTGGGAAATAGAGAGGGGGAGAATTGGAAGAGAGAGTAGGTCGTGGAGGAACAGGACGATTGACTGGAGGGGTAGGATAGGGGGAAGAGGGAATCATAGGTTAGAAGACAGATCAAGCACCATTGTGACCTCTAGTGACATAAACAAATGACACCAATTGGCAAGCTAAGCAATAGTGTAGAGACCACCTCGAATGCCCATTCCTGATAGTGAACCTGATGTCTATAACCATCCTGGAGCCATCATCCAGTGACTGATGGAAGCAGAGGCAAACGCCCACTGTTAAATACTGAACAGAACCCAAGGAACCCAGCGACAGAGAGAGAGGAGCAAAGAGCAAATTGGCAAAGAATGGACTGGCAAAACCAGCACAGACAGCTGATCAGAACAGGGGAGAGCTCTTGGACCCCAGACCGATAGCTGGAAGGCCAGCATGGGACTGATCCAGACCCCCTGAATATGAGAGTCAATGAGGAGGCCTGGGCTACCTATGGGGTCCTGAGCAGTGGATCAGTGTTTATCCCTCGAATACTAACAGACATCGTGTGTCCATAACACAAAGAGGGTTGCTCTCTCTGCCTGGACTCTTAGGGAAGTGCCTGAACCCTACCCTGAGTGAAATGACAGACTCTAGATATCCCCTATGTGGAAGGAATTGTCAATAGGGTGGGAGGGTGGGGGGGGGATGATGGGGGGAGTGCGGAAGAGGGAAGGGAGAGGGAACTGGGATTGACATATAAAACAAGCTATTTAAAATTAAAATAAAAAAGATTTGTTCATCCCTATATTATGTTGCTATATATTTTATTTTAATAATTTATAACTTAAATTTTTCCAAAATTGTATATCAGTGAATACTACAATTATTATTTAAGTGTATATTTAATATATTTATAACATATTTTATAAGATAGAAAGCAAAAAACTATTTTTTCAGGATAAAACAAAGAAATGTATACATTTTAAGATGAATTCATTTCTCTCTCTCTCTCTCTTTCTCTCTCTTTTTTGTCCTGGAACTCTCTTAGTAGACCAGGCTGGCCTTGAGCACACAGGGATCCGCCTGCTTCTGCCTCCCAAGTACTAGGATTAAATTTGTGTGCCAACACTGTCCAGGCCAATTTCTTAATTAAATGGTCCCTACATCACTTGTAGCCCCATTAAGATCAAAATGTTTCAATCAGTGAAGATGTATATGTAAACTTCCTATTACCATTCACAAAGAACAGCTGAAAAAGTGAATGTGTGGAAGTCTTTAGTATTAGTGGGGAATGATGCAGTTATTTGGGACGATTCATGTTTAGTGAATTTAGTACTGTCTTTAATGTCAGTCACAATTAAACACATTGAAAAATACAACCAAATATGTTTTGCATTATAAGAGTTTGTTGAAAAATTGAGAACTTAGGGCAGGCATCTTGAGGTCAGCCTGGTCTGCAGAGAGGATTTCAGGACAAATTGGGCTACATAGAGAAATCATATCTTGAACAATAAGACAAAACAAAATAATCAAAAATGAGAACAGAGTATCAGTAATATTTAAATAATTAGCTTAACATTAAACAAACAAACAAAAATCAACAACCAAAGCTAATGTCATATACAATTTCTCTGTCTCTCCTCAAGTATCTTAATATAGACTTGAACTAAGTCTCTAACACCATGGCTGCCTGATAACATGTTCCTCATGATGATGATAATGGACTACAATTCTGAAACTGTAAACAAGTCCCCAGTTAAAAACTTTCTTTTGAAAAAATTTCCTAGACCATGGTATCTCATCACAGCAATAGAAAAGTGAGTGACTTAGGGGTAGTGTTATACTATTTTGACATAACTGACCATGAAGATTGATGGAGCATTATGGAAGACTTTGGGACTTTGGACTAGAAAAGTGGTTGAATGCTTTAAGCTGTGCTTATTAGCCATGCTAGTAGGACTCTGAGGGTAATGTGAACTGACAACTCAGTTCAAGAAGTTTCACAGTGGAAGGATACTGGTAAGTGGACTTAAGTCCATTCTTATGATGTTTTGACAAAGAATGTGGCTTGGTTTTGCCTTTGTCCTAAAAATCTCCCAAGACTAAATTGAAGTTTTGATTAATGGCTTTGAGGATATTTTAAGACAGGCTAGAACTGACTCTGTCCTATGGTTATTAGTGGCCTCTTGTATGCAGATCTGTACTGAAAAACAGCATGCTAATCGAGGAAAAATATAAAATGCTTATTTTGAAGAGAAAAAAGCACTAGGAAGTATAATGGAGCTTAGTTCAGTACTCAAGGAGATAAAAAGCTTCAAAAAAAGCTTGAGGATAAATGGAATAAAGGGAGTCGAAACCTCAGGGAAAGACCCCACCTAGCTAAGCTTCCAACTTGTAAAAAAAGAATTAAAGATAAGCACAAGCCGTGATAGAAACAAACAACAACCACAAAAAGCGACACAAATGTAACTGAATGGGAGGGCCATGTTTCAGTCCCAGCAAGCAGCAAAACTGAGCAACTTTAGCCACGTGGTTCTGGTTTTTGAGTCAAGGATATAAGAAAAAGACTGTTGAATCTCCCTCCACTGCTAAGATTGAAGCCTTAGCTAAGCTGGAGGCCAGGTGTGTGTCAAGGATATCCATGCGTGGAGGTACAGAGAGGTCATTGAATGAAGTCTGAATTGTGTTTGGGATCCCAAGATGTTGGAGATATCAGAGTCATAGGGTTCCTGATGAGGAAAGCTGAAGACTGGGTGTGGAATTAGACTAAAAGGGAGAACAGTGCTGCAGTCAACAAAACTGACAGCAGTTGGAAATGTGAAGAGTCCTTTGACATCAGACATGGAGATGCAGAATTTGGAGTTTTCTCTGCTGGGTTTTGGTCTTGCTTTTGTTCAGTATTTTCTAGCTGTGTCCCATTTCCCACTTTTGGAATTGTTGGTATATTCTGTGTTGGAAGTATGTGATCTACTTTTTTATTTTGATTTTACAGATGTTCATAATTAAGAGATTGCTTTCAGTCTCAGAAGATACTTTGAACTTTGGACTTTCAACAATATTGAGACTGTGATAGACTATGGGGAATTTGGAGGTGAACTGAATGTATTTTTGCATTATGATATGGTTAGAAGCCTATGAGGGCCAGAGAATAGAATTTTGTGATTTGAGAAAGACTATATTTGAATGCTTAGTCACCAGAGATTTGCAAAATTTGATAGGATTAGCAGGATTAAGATACGTATCTGTGTTGGAAGAAGTGTGTAATGGGGGTCAGCTTTGAGGTTTCAAGAGCCCATGTCAAGTACAGGACCTTTTTCTCTCTAGGTGGATCAGGATGTATCTATCAGCCTACCTATCTATCTGCCTACCACCAAACTCCCTTCCATGACGACAGTGTACCAAGACTCTGAAAATATAAGCAAGCCCACAATTAAATGCTTTCTTTCCTAAGATTTGCCTTGTGTTTTTTTCCAGTAATAATTGTGAAATGTATAATTAAAATGGCCTAATTTACTAGATCATTTTGACAGTAGTATAGTAAGATAGTAATAGAATATTCAAAGCAGTGCAGAATTTGTGTCATTTGTTGTTTAAATAAATTAATTCAGAGAAACACTTATTAAAGTGGTATACCCTTTATGAAGGACCACTGATTAATAGTACCTGTCAAATTTTTGATATTACCTGATCTTCTTGTTTCCTTAATATACTCAACATTTCAATGTTCATTCTTCTTATATATGTTAATATATCGGCCGACAAGATCGTCAGTGGTCAAAGGTGCTTGCCTTCAAATCTGATGAACTCAGCATTGGATCCCTAGAATCCTCATGGCAGAAGGAGAGAACTGACTCTCACAAATTGTCCTCTGACAATCCCCTACACTAACTTTATAAACAAAAGGATATATGCTAATATATTTTAGGTAACAGTTGACAGATTCATGGATCATTCCTTTAGGTAAGCTGTTTCCAAAGGCATTTTTATATATTATATGATATTTTATTTCCTCAAATTCCTATAATAACTGTCTGTAGACTTCAACTTCTGCAAATTAATCTGTGATAATATTGCATAAAGAGCAATCAATCACAGCCTATAAATAACAACTCAAATGGTATCAAATTACGGTGCTACAGTTACTGTGGGAAGTATTACTTCTCTAAGAAAGTTTTATCTTAAAACAACTTTTAGACTATTTGTTGCTTACTCAATTGCTTTATGAGGAGCAGCCTGAAATGTATTATGCTTAATTGGTCCCCCGGGAAACATTTACTATTTTCAACATGATTTACACAGGAAACCTCCCCAGACACATCTCACCAATACAAAATGTATCCTTTTAGATTGAAGATTTGGAGTGAACCATGACTGATGTGTTCTATGAAAATAGCCAATTATTTATAGATGGGTGGATTTATTACATCAACCTCTAACTTCCTACATATGACCTCTTCAAATATACCTCTTTTCATTGAACAGTCATGATAAAATAATGTATTCACATTTACTACTCTACATGTTATAAGACTTTTTCATGGAATGTCTAATCTTTTGTGTAACATCCAAATACAGATAATAAATTGATTAAATCTAAAGGAAACCATATAAAGTATAATAGAAAATAAGCACGTTATAATAGAAAATAAAGAGTTAAAATATTGATGTTTCTTTTGAAGGTGTATTGAGAGGGGGAATCACACTTTCAGAGACCTATTGCAGACCCAAGCTTTTCCTATAGTTCTCATAATGAGGCGATTTCTAACATAAAGAAGACTGAATTTCTTTTTTTTAATTTTATTTAACTTTTTATACATGCTACTTCCAGATGCTTTTCTGTCCCCTCTTCCCCCACTTCCCACCAATCTCCCCAACACCTCACC